CTGATTTGTTCTGTTGACTTGAGTGTCAGATTTCTTTTTTGCTATCTGTTTATGAGACTATCCTCAGCTTCCAGGCCAGCACATGAATCCCAGACCCTGTTACACAGCTGCAGAGACCCTGTTCAGAAGATTCTCCAGGAAGTAGCAATGGCGAGCTGTTCAGTGTTACATTGGTTTCCGACTATTTCTAAGAGGAAGGGGTGGGGAGCGGGGGGAGGGTAGGGGGGAGAGCGAGCGCGCGCACTCCTGTGGCAGGGAAATGTTAGAGAAAGCTGTGGGACCCTTTGATCTTCCCCTTCCATTTGGAATAAATCCCGTTTAATAAGCCGCACTTAGTCACGTCTAGTTTGACAGACATTAGACATCATAAGGATGCAGGAGGGAGGCTGAAAACCTGGAGCTGAGCATTCAGGCAAAAGCTGGGGTGGCGCCTGGAGCCCCCAGGTGGCAGGACCCCACACCTGCCCACCCCTGGGCCCCGAGGCCTGCCTTGCCCTTATCCTGGCCGGGCTCTCTGCTTTTGATCGTCCTCCCTTTAGGTGATCCCAGAGACAGGCAGAACTGGGGCAGCCTAGTGAAAATAGCGCATCAGCCTGGGAGGGGGGGGCGGGGAGGGAACTGGGGCAACGTGCAGAGCACATGTCCTGCCCGAGAAATCAGGTCTTAAAGGAGAAGGGCGCAGTTGGGGAGGAGGACAGCCGCTTTCATCTCTCTCTCTCAGGGTCCAAGCTGCAGGGGTCTGGGGAGAGGGGTGCCCGGAGCTGGTGGTCCCTCTCCTGCCTCGGCAGCCCCATTAGCAAGATGGAAAGCCATGGGTGAGGTCCAAGGGAGGGACCTAGTTACCCATCCAGGAAGATGCTTGATGATGTGGTGGATCCACTCACAGTGGGCTTCCCTTGACGGCAAGAGGGGCCCTGGGACCCAGCAGGCAGGACCTGGCACTCCTGGCGGCTGCAGGCTTGTCTTTGGGCCCTCTGGCCTGTGGTCCAGCTCAGGAATCCCCACCCAGGCATCATCCTTGTGAAAGGCAGGGAGCAGCCTGGCACTGCCAGTTACGTTACCTGGAGCTGATCAAGGGGCCAGAGGAAGAGGGCTGGAGATCACTGCCAGGGGCTCTCTCCACTGTCCTGAGCCAGTGGAGGCCTCCGGCAGAGCCCCCTCGGCGCAGAAGCAGGGAGAGGTAGACGGGCCCCCCAGAACTGTCACTCCCTCGCGCCTCGCATTCAGAGATGGGCAGAAAAGGAGGAAGCTGGTGAGTCCGGGCAGATGGGTGCAGACACCAGCAAGAGAACCCACGGGCAGCCTGGCCGGAATTCTAAGGGCACTACCTCCGAGAGAATATTCAAACGCTCTGGGTGCCCTGACATCTGCTCTCCTGACTGCCAGAGTGTGGCCTGGAGACGCTTCCTACAGCTTCATCCTGCAGGAAAGGGGAGCGTCTCTCATCCATGCTTACTGGGTGCTAGGGAAGGGCGTCCACGGAATCTGCCAGAACCGTGGTGCCTGAATGACTTTGGTGATTGTTTTGCAGGGTGGGATTTCAGTTCCATTTAGACTTTTTCTCAAAAGGCTGTCACAATTCCCAAGCTATCTGAACCCTCAGATTTACATGCCATCCTGACTGGAGACTGGGAGTTGCTGAGGGGGTGCGTGGGGTGGTGCATCCGTCGTAGTCATTAGGTGGCCTCTGTGTTCCTCTGTTCCTCTTATCTGTCCATGTTTCCTCCATCCCTGTTACCTTTTGCCCTTTGTTTTTCACCTAAAGGAGAATCTGCAAACAGAACCCTGTCCTCCCGTGTTCTAGATTTTCCAGGGGGAGGAGAAAGGAACAGTTCCAGTTTGCAGGATAATTTGGGGCGCTGGGTACTACAGGGGGAGTTGCCTCCTGAGACTGGAGGTTTGAGGTTGGTTGATGCTTGGTGCGGCCCGCCCTTTGCCAGGGCCTTGAGGCTGAAATCCAGGTAATCTCGGCCTTGCGCTCACACTCCCCCCTCGCCTCCTCAAACTCAGCTGGAGATCAGGGCCACGCCCAGACACACACCCCCCCCAACACCACCTCTTTCTAGCTCCCTGGCTATTGTTCCCCACCTTCCAGGGTGGTTCCCTCAGCCCCCTAGACGGATTCTGGCTCCACTGCAGACAGGGTGAGTAGTGGATTGTACTTTTGACCCACTGGCAGTCGATGGGGGTTCCCTGAGTCCCCTCTCAGGCGCCCTTGATTCTCCAGGGCTGTTGGGAAAGGATAGGACGGGGAACAACCAGAGGGAAGGGGCGCATACGGCGGGCTGGCACCCTGTGTGCGGACCTGAGCCCCATCTCATGGGGTCATTGTGGCGGCTGCTTTGCCTTGCCCACTTGCCTGATCAAATCACTGGCCCTGCTCTGAGACTGGAGTCCATCCACTTGCCCACATCTCTGCCTGGCAGTGTGGGCTGACAGCTCCTGCCTCCAAGGAGCTGGGGTGCCCCAGCAGCCAGCGCCCATCTCAGCCTGCCTTGGGACTTCCCAAGAGTCTCTCCCCACCCCCACCCCAGCCGGTGTTGGAAAGGGGTGTGTTTCCCTGGCAGGACGCTGCCTGCTGCCTTGGCCTTAATGACTCAGCTAGATCAGGAAGAGGAAAGGCCAGTGGGAAAAAAATCACAACAAAAGAGCCTCCAGCCCCTCGGTTCTTAGGGAATCCCAAGGGCCTAAGGAACTCTGCGCCCAGAGGGGACAAGATCAAAATGCATCTTTCTCATGGCACACCGCGGCCTTGCGCCCAGGCCCAGCTCGCCTCTGATGGCAAGGACTTCCCGTTGGGAGCCTCTCACTTTTTTCTGGGACATAAATAGCCAGTGACTCTGTCTGGTAGACCTGCCCGTGGCCTCTTCCTCGCTGTAACTTGACCCTCTCTGGTACTCAAGAGTCACGCTGGCATACAGGGGACTGAGCCATACCGTCACAACAGTCACCATGAATCTCCCAGTTTATTGGAAAAGCCAGAGGAGACTGTAACATGTAAGGAATTTTGTTTGGGACAAAATTTGACATGTCCATGACTGCCACAGGCCTGCTGATCGGGCTGGTCAAGGGCACATCCACCCTGGCCTCTTCCCGACAGCACGGTTTGGTCTTTGGAGTCAGAAGAAACAGTGAAGGACTCTTTGAAGATGGAGCTGGTGGCCTGATGGCCATCATCCTGTCACTTCCAGGGCCTGGGAAGGAGGCAGATCCACGGGGGCAGAGGGACCAGAGCTGGGGGTTTCTGTCCTGTCCTGTCATTCAGAGCATCAACACCAACAGGGAGTGTGGTGAAGACTTGAAGCTGACCACTTGTGTCCTTCCTGGGACCATGGGAGCCATGCATTCCCTCGCAGCCTGGCCAGCTGTCCAGAGGGAGACAGCTGCCCCGGGCAGAGCAAGTGAGCGATCCCCGCCGACAGTGTTACCAGCATCCAGTGAGACGGTGTTCAGAACATCTGGACTAAAAATTCAGAGGAACCAGAAAGATAGTACAGCGACTTGAGTAATTGCCTTGCATGATGCCAATCTGGCTTCAATCCCCGGCATCCCCATGGGGTCCTCCAAGTACTGCCAAGAGTGATTCCCAAGCAAAGAGCCAGGACTAACCCCTGAGCATTGCCAGGTGTGGCCCTAAAATGAAAAGAGTGGGTGGAGGGTGGCTGAGGACTTGAGGCACAGAGCTGATAACCTGGGTTTGGCCATGGCACCGCATTTGGTCCCTGAGCACTGCCAGGTACTGCTGGGGTCCAGCCCCGGGTGAACAGGCTTGAAGCAGGGGCGCCGTGAGGATTAAGGAGAGAGAAGTAAGGGCTCAGGGGGTGCCAGCCCGTGCACTGAGAGCCTCGGCTTCCTATCCTGATTGCTTAGAACCAGTAAAATGAGCATTCTTGAGTTGGATTAGACTTTTACATGTCTGAGGGTGTGGTCTGATGTAAACATATAAATCTAGATATGAATATGGGTTTAGTCGAACATAAATATAAACAGACGGAAAGCGCTTCCTTCAGGGGAAATTCTAGGAGATCTGCCCAGGCTGGCTCTCCATCTCTCTGGATTCTGGTCCCCGACAAAGTGTGCCCCACTGCCCCCTGAGAGATTGTATAGCAGGTAGGGCGCTGGCTTTGCACGCCTAGTGTGATCCCCAAGCATCCTGCCAGGAGTAACCTCTGAGCATCACCAGGTGTGGCCCCAACACATTTTTTGAAAAGAAAGAAAGAAAGATTATACAGAACTGAAGATAGAGCTCAGTGGGCTGGGCACATGCTTTGTGTGGGGGATCCTGGGTTCCGTCCCCAACACCTCAAGAGTGATCCCGAGCATCATGCTGGGAGTAACCTTCTAGCATCGGCAGGTATGACCCAAAAGAGCAAAAAAGCAAACAGAATGATGAAAACTAGATCGAGGCATTCAGTTCTGGGGAAATGTCTCAGCTTTGATCTTTATACCAGGCAATTGTCTTGTGCCTCCCTGGGTGTGAGTGCAAAGCACTGGGGGGAATAAATGCAAGATCACAGTCTCCCCCTCCCCCCCCCCCCCCCCCCCCCAGCTCATGAAACAGCTGCGGCTCCAGGTGGCACATGGCCAAGGCATTTGCAAGCATTCTGGAGGGCCAAAGGGAGAGGCAGAGACCTGGGGTGAGGACGTGGGTGAGGAGACAGGCGCAGGGGCTCCATGCTCCCCTCGCTGCCCTCTGGGCTCCTCTGGGAAAGGGTCTTCAGCTAAAAAACACTAGCACGGGGAATAAGACGTTTGTCGGAGTTGTCACTGACTTATAATCAGCGAGGCCGGGGCAAGGGGGACCCCGGTGAGGGATGGTGAGGGATGGAGGGTTGGAGGCTGCGACGGAGCAATTGCGGAGTGTGTGACTCAGTGAGGAAGAAACCAGGGCTGGACTGTCCCTCTTCTCCATGGCTCCGACCACAGCCACTAATGTTCGCTCTCTTCTTCGGATGCTTGACTGAGAGGAAACATCTCACCCTGCTTTTCCTTTCTTTCAGGTTTCAAGTGCCCCATTTGCTCCAAGTCTGTGGCTTCTGATGAGATGGAAATGCACTTTATAATGTGTCTGAGCAAACCTCGCCTCTCCTACAACGGTACGGACTGGACGGGGGGGCTCTGGGTGAGGGTCCACCCAGGCGTCGAGGGCACCGCGGAAAGGCAGCCAGGTGGTCCTGTCTGTCCTCTCGCACCCCCCTCCTTCTGTGATGCTCTGGTGGGGATGGCCATGCAACCCCCAGGGTTCCCGGAGGGTCTGCCCCCTCCTTGGAGAAGGAGGCCTTTTGCGGGGAGCCTGCTGCGAGTACCGGAGCCCTGGCTCTCGGAGGTGGAGTCGGCGCTTCCGTAGATACCTGGGAATGGGGGGGACCCCCCAGGCTGCCTCAGCAGCAGGGGAAAAGGCCTGGGCCAGGGGACCCCAAAAACCTAAGCACCCTTAACATGGCCCCTCTGAACATGAAGGGTGTCAGCATCCGCCTGTGGGTACGGTGGGGGCATGCGGTATAGGATCAGCGTCCTCCGTACCCCTGACCAACTCCTGGAGCCGAGGCCGAGTTTCCTGGTCCCTGACGGGGGCATCAGTACTCAGTGCTTCAGACCGTGTCCTACTATATCATTTGCAGCCCAGAGCCAGGAACCCCCCATTTCAGAAGTGGCAGCTGCTGGTGAAGGGACACGCCCGGGTGTGGGTGTCGTCGGCCAGAGTGAGCGGGTTGCCCAGAACTTGCCCTGTGTCCCCTCGAGCTGTGCTCAGTCAGGTCTCAAACCGTGGCTGTCAGGAAGTGTGTCTCCAGGAGAAAGGCACGAGGCCTGGGGTGGGGGTGAGCCCAGCTGGGGTGAAGGTCACAGCGTTTCTCCATGTGTGGCCTGGGTGGAGGTGAGTCTGGAGCCCAGATGTGACAGTCTGGGTGGGTGCCTCCTGCAGGCCCGTCCTGGACTCACCTGTGCAACGCCCGCAGAAACCTCGTGCTGTGAGATTGTAAATCCTTAGGCCACACTGACGGTGCTCAGGGCCCACTTCTGGCAGGACCGGGGGACCGCAGGGGTTGGTGCTGGGTTCGGGTTGGCCGTGGAGGACAGGCATCCTACCTGCTCTTCTAGCTCGCTGGCCCTGAGATTTTATTTTTCCTAACGTTTGCTCTTAGAGGCCACGCCCAGCAGTGCCAGGGGCCCTTGCAGTATCTGCGATTGAACCGAGGCCTGTAGCACAGGCCTGCACCCCCTCGCCATCTCCCTGGGCCTGTTCTCATACTGTTTCATTTACTTGTTCAGCCAAAGCACTGGCTTCGGAGTCTCCAGGCCACACCCGGCCCAGCGCCTGTCCTAGTTCAGATGATGCACAAGTTTTAGCAGCCACAGTCCCAAGTCAGGACCCCCAAGTGTTTTCGTTTTGTAGGTGATACTGATTTATCATCCCAGGCCCTCCCACTCACTGTGGTCTCTAAGAATTAGAAAACGTGAGGAACCTCCCCACGCAAGAGAATCAGCCTGCTGGAAAACCTGGGTATGCAGGACCAGTGACTGAAAATGCCCGGCCTCAAGGGGACTGGGACACAGCTTCCCATCTCCCCTCCCTTCCGGGGTCCTGGCTGTCACACCCTTGAACTGCCTCCGTGTGCCATTTAAGCATTTTAACAGCCATGATCCAGAGACTCACAAATGAATCTGAATCGAACAGCTCACTGCAGAGATGTCTCAGGACCCCAGTTATTTAAATTTTTAGAATCACAGGGAGCGCTAGTGGCTGCTTTTGCAGCTGCGTGCTATCTCATATATTGTTGTTGTTGTTGTTGTTGTTGTTGTTTGTTGTTGTTGTTTGTTGGTGGTGGTGAATCACTGTGAGATAGACCCTTACAGATATCTCGTACTATTCATAACAAGCAATACAGAATAAATTAGCAGCTCCCTGTGGGGCAGGCTTGAGTGGTGGTGGGAAGGTGTCATTCATGGTGGTGGGATTGGTGTTGAAATATTGAATGTAATCAATTATTATGAACAACTTTATGAAAATGAAATTTTAAAACAAATGAACACATGAGGAGACATGAAGATTCTGTGTGGTGTTGTAGTCTTGAAGGAAGAAGATTCAGTAAAACCATTGAAACACACTCAGAACCTCTGGTCACTCCCATGGAATTCTTTCTCTCCCTCTCACACACACTTAGAACCTGTGGTCATTCATAGAGATTCTCTCTGCCTCTCTCAATCTCTCTCTCTCTCTCACACACACACACACCACATTCTTTCAAGTTACTGGCACCAATTGGGGAAATTTTTAGAAAATTTACAGTGGTTATATAAGATGAAATTTAGTCAACCACCAAAGGGGGAAAAAAGTAGAAATCTCCTAAATGAGGCAGATAGAAAGTAGTATTTTTCTTATTATGAGGGTTGGCCTGAGTTGTAGGTTGGAAGGCCTCCAGTAGCCACCTGCCAGATTAAAAAAAAAAAAAACCAATTTGGGCAAGGCAAGACGAGTTCAACTAGTTGCCCCAGTGCTGGAGAGAAACATGAAACCCACTTCACGTTAGCTCCGCTGCTGCCCCCGTGCTGGAGAGAAACATGGAGGCCACGTTCTGGCCTGCTCGGGGCTGCAGCTGGGAGGGCGGAAGTGCAGGCGGGGGAGGGGGGGTGTGGGGGGCAGCGCAGGTGTTCTGCATCCCCTCAGAGCCCACCCAGAGAAAGGAGAGAGCCAGAGGGGCCCGTTTTCACCGGTAACTGATCAGTTTGAGGGGGTCTCTGAGCACGTCGCCCCCCATTACACGTTTCCTTTTGGCTGATGGTGCTCAGCCAGCAGAGCAGGCCTGAGATGGGGGGCTTGATTTTGCTACGAGCAGAGCAGCCCCCAAAACCCCAGTGTGTTGGGATGGTGGGTCCCAGGCACTGAGGGCCTGCGGTACCCCAGCTCCACCAGCCAGATGACCTTGGCCCAGGGCCGGGTGACTGTCCACGCTCCTTCCAGCAAAACTTCTCCTCAGCTTTGCTGCTGCTGCAGAGACCCTTGCCACGGGGCGTAGGGTCCGACTGCCCCCTGCCCTCTTCTCCCGAAGGACCTCACCCCACTTGCAGGCGTCAGCTGAGGCTGCTTAGGTGAAGTCTCCTGCTCCAGACCCTGACCATGGGCTGGAAGCGCCTGTTCTCGGGGCTGGGAGCCGGCAGGCGCAGAGGGCAGGCGCTGTGGTACTTCTAGCCTCGGCCTGAGGCTTCAGCCAGTAGGAGGGCCGGAGGGGGAGAGCGGCCGCAGCCCCGGCAAGTAGGAAGCAGGCAGGAGCTTTGTCACTCGCCCCTCTGCCATCATCACTGCCCAAGTCACCCGACAGTAGATCCCACCTTGGGGTCCTGGGTTGTTGAGGTGGGGGTGCCCCAGCTGGCAGGGGACACTGCCTGGACGTTTCCCGAGGTGGGTGGAGCTGGCACAGTGTGTCTGGCTCGCCCTGCCCTGCCTGGCCCTGCCCGGCCTGTACTTCAGACGCCGGCTGGCCGCGGCGCACATGCTGGAAATGAGGCCAGGGGGTGGGGCCGTGTCACGGGCTGGGGGTGCGTGGGGCACGTCCTGCTCTCACCAGGGCAGGAAGCCAGCTGCACGCCACTCCCTGACCTGAGCGCCCTCGTGTCCCCTGTGCAGTCACAGAGGAGAGGCGGCAGCCGCCGGTGAGGTGACAGACGGGAAGGAAGTGGGCTTGGACTTGGGGCCACAGAGCAGCCTGAGGTGGTCATGATGTCCAGCCCCAAAGAAGACAGGCCCCTCTCCTCCTGCCCCAGCCCTGCCACAGGCTTCCGGGTCTGCCTCTCTGTCCCCAGGGCCCAGAAGCGGGCAGGGACCATCCTCTGAAGAAGCCAGCAGCCTCTCCCCCACCCTTGTCCATCACCTCTGAGGGACACTGGGCCCCTCTGTGCTGACACAGCAGCACAGGAAGCTGCTGGAAGCAGAGAAATTGGGCATGCCTGTCGGCCCCCCGTCAGCAGGGGACAGCCCAGGACAAAAATTTGGATCAGCCACGGCGAGGTCCCCAAGGGTCCCAGCCAGAATGTGAAGAGATCGGGAACCCAGAAGGCCCATAAGCCCAGGCAGCGTTTCATGGATGAGCACCTCGGAGCCAGGCGGAGGGAGATAGATGCCTGGAGCAGCATGGCACTCGCCTGCCCAAGTTAGGCTCTCCCTCCTGGGTCCTGTGAGAACCCTCAGCCCTGCTGCAGAGCCTCCTCACGTCCTGGCCTCCACGTTGTCCCCGACCACCCTTATTCTAGACCCATCCCCTCCTACCTGTCTAAGGCGTTTCACAGTCAAGTGAGGACACCGGTGTGTTTCTCAGGGGCTGGTTATGAAAGTAGTAGGTGTTCAGTTAACAATCATAGTTGGGGGTTCAGAGAGAACTCCCGGACCACATGTGGTCCCTGTGCATGGCCAGGATTAAGCCCTGATCACAGCTGGGTGTGGCCAGAAGGGGGGGAGTGAAGCCAGAGGTTTTCTAACCTTTTCCTCCCATCTATTCAAATGTGAATCCAGGGGCTGGAGAGAGCATAGCGGGTGGGGCACTTGCCTTGCACATGGTTGACCTGGGTTCTATCCAAATTATCCCCCGTGTGCCACCGGGAATGATTCCTGAATGCTCACACTGTTGCTACTGTTGCTGCTCTTGAGGGCATCGTCCAGGATATTCATATGCGTTATGCTGGTGGCATGGAGAGAGGACAGGGGAGCGAGGGCACAGGGTCATGTGGGGGCTTCGGAGTCACTGTAGCCTTCGAGGCCATGAAGAATTCTCATTGTATGGCCCCCACCAAAGCACCAGCAGGGCAGGGAAGGAAGACCCACACAGCTGCACCCATCCATTCTGAACCCTCTGATTTGTGTGTGTGTGTGTGTGTGTGTGTGTCCCCATTTTTTTTTTAATTTTCCAAATTGAGTTGAGGTTCCTAGTGTATAGCCCAATGGTAGAACAGTTGTTTCACATATTTGAGGCCCTGGATGCAGTGCACATGCGCATACATGCACATGCACACTTACATTGAAATTCATGTAACAAAATTAAACCTTGACGCTGGCTGGAGCAATAGTGCAGTGGGTGGGGCACTTGCCTGGCATGCAGCCAGCCCGGGTTCAATACCCGGCATCCCATATGGTCTCCTGAGCCCTGCCAGGAGTAACCCCTGAGCACCGCCAAGTGTGGCCCCGAAACCAAGAATTTAATAAATAGAAGATAAGCATTATGATTAATCTTTTTTTTTTTTTTTTTTTGCTTTTTTTGCTCTTTGGGCAAAGCATAGGGGTTATTCCTGGCTTGTACACTCAGGAATCACTCCTGGCGATGCTCAGGGGACCATCTGGAAGGCTGGGAATCGAACCTGGGTCAGCCGCGTGCAAGGCAAACACCCGACCCGCTGTGCTATCGCTCTAGCCTCTGATTAATCTGTTTTGATGTATTTGTATGTGGGTGGTGCCAGAGCTTGAACCCAGGATCTCAGACATACAAAGCCTCCACTTCTACCATCGAGCTGCTTCCCTGGCAGAAACGGAAGCGTTTCTCAGTGACCTGGTCAGTAGCATATGTAGGGCCCGGACATTGTCCAGCAGCTTGTCATCGCTCTCTAGCTCAGGGTCCGTTCAGCCGAGAAGCAGTTCTCATGTACTCAAGGTCTCAAAAATTCAGCCTGTGGAGCGTGGGGCCCGAGCTGAGGGGCGAGGCTGGGTCTGTGGCTTCTCAGGGACAGAGGGTTTCCACTCCAGCGCCCGGCCCTCTTCTCTCTGCCCGCTCTGGCCGTTTCGTGTCCATCTCAGTGGTCATTTGTGTCTGGCTCTCTCACTTGGCAGCCCATGTGCAGGGCTTGTCCACTCCCCCCGGCTTAGCCCTCATCCCCTGGCGGGCGCTTTCCACCTTTCCCTTCTGGTGGTGGGGGGCCGCCATGGGTCCCCCCAGAGCGTGTTTCTCGCCTTTCCCCCACTGTGTTCCACCTCCCATGACGCCTTTGTCTGAGACACAGACGGGCGCTGGAGCGAAAAGACGAAATCAGGGGCGCGAGGGAGGAGCCCGTCCGGGGCAGGGTCACTGGGCCCCTGGACGTCCCTGCAGGGAGGACCTGCCGACCAAGGTCTCTCGGGCCTGTGTGTCCTCGCTCCCCCAGAGCCTGGCACCGCGGGTAAACCAGGCCAGTCTGGTGCCCCCTGTCTGTCGGTGACCGTCTCCGTCCCCTGCTTTCCCTGCCCCCTCTGCAGATGACGTGCTGACTAAAGACGCGGGGGAGTGTGTGATCTGCCTGGAGGAGCTGCTGCAGGGGGACACGATAGCCCGGCTGCCCTGCCTCTGCATCTACCACAAGAGGTATGTGGGGCCGCGGGGAAGCTGGACAAACCCCGGGTTCCACCCTCGGCTCCTCCCTGGACACTCTTCTCCCTGCATCTCTCGGCCTCCCATGGTTGCCGAGTCCATGGGGCCCCTCCCCAGGTGCTGGGCTGCTGGACACGATGCTGCCATCATTTGCAGGGCTGAGACAGACTGTGAGACTGTCCTCTGCTCCCCCCCTCCCCGAGATGCTGGACACTGAGCTGCCATGCCATGGGCTGCAGGCGGCGCCGGCACAGGACGGGTCTGGGGGAGCCCCACGCTCAGTCTGGCCTGACTAGCGGGCACAGCACTCCAGGAGCCCAGCCCCAGGAGCGGGAGGAAGAGCAGCTTTCCCCTTGGGGAGAGTCAGGCAGATCGTGTCTGGTTCCCGTCTTAGAAATCCTTCAGGAGGGGTCCCAGGGCCATCCCTGTTCCTCTCCTTTCCTGCAGGCCCGTCTGCCTGGCTGACTGGCTCTCTGCCACTGGGCCACGGGACCCGGCCTCCCTCCCCAGCCCGTGGCTGGAGGAGCCCCACAACCACTCCCCCGAGCCCCATCCTCTGGCCACCCCTCCTGCGGCACCCAGATCCCCGTCAGTCCTCACACCACAAGCCTTGGGGCTTCCCTTCTCTGGCTTTTGAAAGTGGGTATCGGGGGCTCAGCTGTTTCTCCCCGGGTTCCTGGCAGGGGAGATCAGGGCCTCCCTGTACCCGCGACTGTTTAGATTTCCCTGCAGGACCCTGGCGGGAGAGATCCCTGCGCACCGTGACAATTTTCCTTGCTCCCTTCCCCACAGTTGCATAGACTCGTGGTTCGAAGTGAACAGATCTTGTCCAGAACACCCCGCGGACTGACCTTGCTGGGCTTGCTGACTCCTCTCAAAGGTGAGCATGTGGTTTGGGGGCGCTCCAGGCCTAGAACTTGGGGTCGAGTTCCTCTGGGACCTGAGTGGGGTGCCGAGCTGCTCCACATGACCCCTGGGAAGAAGGGGGAGTCTCCGTGGTCCCTAGAGCTCGGGCCAGTGATTCCTGGGCAGGATGAGTGATGGGAACGTCGTCGAGGCAGGGAAAGTTCCGGTGAGCTCCCCACCCCCAGGCAGGAGCGCAGGATGCCCCGGTCTACATCCGCGGGCAGCGAGGGCAAGGCAGGCCTTCCTCTTGGGAGCTGTGCTGTTCTGGGGAGCATTCAGCCTGCTTCTGTCCCGAGAGGTCATGGCACTTGTAGAGAAGAGTATGTGGGATGGTGCCTGGTCCCCTGCGTGCCTGCCCACCACCCGGCCCCTGACCGTGTCGCAGCCCTCACCAAGCTGAGCTTGCTGCGCGTCTCCAGTACCCCCCGACCTCTCCATTTCTTCCCCAGGGCACCTTGCTTTACTGCTGACTGTCCTGTCCCCTAGCTGCCTCCCTGTCCCTTCAGGGCCAGACTGGCACTATTTGCTGGCAGACATACAAGGCCCCCAAGCCCGAACCCTGCCCCCACCCGTCTCACATCCAAAGGTTTGGGGGTCTCTCTCTCTCTCTCTCTCTCTCTCTCTTTCTCTCTCTTTCTCGTTTTTTGTTTCCTTTTGTTCTTCGTTAGGTTTATTTTATGTATTCCAAGTAAACTTCTAGAACAGATGATGATATCAGACAAATCAGGGACATTTGCTCTTTTACCTTCACCCCAAAAACTGAGGACCTGGGGAGAAGCCGCAGCAGGGGCGCGAGTGAGGCCAGGCTCTGCTGCCGGTGCTGGAGCCCACTGGCCGGCGTGACGTGTGGCTTCCGGGGGGCCGCCCCAGACGAAAACAGGCATCCCCGCCGGCCGCCTGCGTCCCAGCCTGTGCACGTCCGAGGAGCACGACTCACGTGTCACGGTCCACGCAGGGACAGCCAGCCCTGTGCCCAAGAGGAACCCCGGAGCCTGGGCGGAGCTACACTGACTCCAGAGGACGGGTGTCCCTTTCTCCCCGTGGACGCCACGCCACGCTGGGGGAGAGCGAGTTTGAGAGAAGGAAGAACCGGCCGCCGCTGCCCTGTCCCTTGTGCCCTCCCGGAGGGCAGGGCATTTTCTTCCCACCTCCGAAAGGCATTGTGGGGTCTGTCTCTGGTGTTTACCAAAAAAAAAAAAAAAAATACAAAAAAAAGTCTAGTGTCGACTGGTGTTTCCCTCGTGATGTTCACAGATGCGCCTCCACCCGGCTCGGAACCACCCTGTGACCGAGACCAGCAGAGCCCGGGTCCCGCCGCCCGTTCCGGTGGCCTGGCGCCCGCATCGGCCCTCTCCGTCACCGACCGCTCGGCCTCGGGCCCCCACCCCCTATTTTCTGGCTTGGTTTTGCACTTTCCTCCCTGATATTTTGACTTCATTGCCAAAAGAACCACCCCCACCGAGGACCTTCGCCCCACCGTTCTCTGCTCCCGTCCTCCCGACAGTCAGTTCCGAGGACTGCACTCACAAGTGTCCTGCAAAGATGCCTGGACATTTTTCTTAGACCCTTGTGGATCTTTGTTTTCCAGAAAACTGCAACAAAAGACTTATTATTAAAGGAACATGTACAGCCACCCTTGTTTTCGGGCACTCTTGTTTGAGAACATTTTAGCCATTGATGTTCACACGTGGCGCCAGCCCATGCAAGATAGGTTTCTGTATTTATATATTCAGACACACAAAAGAAACCTTACCAGATGTTTAAAACGATGTTCAAAGCTTGGGGGAAAGCTTTCTTCATTAGTCAAGGTGTTTTGATATGGTATTAAAATAATGTCTAATAAAAGATGCACTGTGTGACTTGATTTTAATGGAGAACCTGTGCATTGCACACTGGACATTGGGGGCGGGAGGCCAGTCCCCTCTCACCTACCTCCTTAGCCTGCCCTCAGGCTGCCTCTGGGGGCTGCAGGTGTGTGCAGTGGCTCCTGGGGGGCCCCCTACATGGGCCTCGTCTCCAGCCTGTCACTGCCCTGCCCGTTAGAGTGGAGTAGCTGAGAAGCTTCCAGAACCGTGTCTGGACACATTCTCCAGCCAACCAGGGCTGCAAGGCTGCAGGGGTTCTTCCAAGTGTGGGCCCCCATCCCCCACCTGGTTCAGCCTCAGCGCCCCCTGCCACCCTGCCCTGCCCTCCCCTGCGCTGCCCACCTGCTCGCAGCTGAGTGCTGACTCACAAGCGGGCTCCAGGGAGGCCCAGGAACGGGCCCTGGCTGGGGGCCGCGTGGGCATCAGCATAGCCCAGGTGGGCAGCTCAGGGGCTCCTCATCGTGTGTGCCCAACCCGGCTCCTCGAGCGACAGTGCAGAGCCTGCCAAGGAGATCAGTCTCTGGAGGACGCCGTTGGGGCCACCGCCTGCCTGCAGCCGATGCACAGCACGGCCACGAGTGTGGGTCTTCCCGGGGACCCGGGCTCCAGAACCAGCACGGCACCCAGGGACACGGTGCCCCCCGCACAGAGGTCACCCACCGGGAGGGAGCCCAGAGGTGCCGGAAGCCCCTGGCACGGTGGCAGCAGCTCTCTCCCAGCGGCCGCCACGCTCTGTGCTATTCCCAGCGCCTCCTGCTTCTGCCTGGCAACTGTGTCTCCCTGTTCTATATTTAATTCCCCCGGCAAAGCTGGCCCTGAAGATCTCCTTGCCTGACCCTGGGGCTGCTGGGGGGGCTCCCGGGGCCACCTGGGCGAGCCTGGGGTCGTGAGCCGCAGCTGACCGCTGTTCGGGGCTTGCCCCCCACCCCAGCACTCCACTGCTCCCCAGCTCTGCAACCCCGTGCTGGCTGCCCGCGCCTCCCAATTTAGCCCCAGACTGCGGGGGAGGTGGGGCTGTCCGTCAGCCCTGGTGCTCCTTCTCTGGGGGCAGGGCTTCCCAGACCAGCTAGTAGCCATCTAATACCAGGGGGGACCTTTAAACGAATGACCTTATTCTTTGTCTCTGGATGCTGACTTGTCTGAGATAAATGATGTCAAGAAATGTGGCAGTTATAACTAAATGGTTCCTGCGCGCCCTGCGCGCGCGCGCGCACACACACACACACGTGTGAAGAAACCACACAAAGCAAGATGACTCGTTGAATCTTCGGGGGCTGGTATTTCTGTGAACAGTGAATGTCCTTGTTCTTTCAGCTCTCCTTGGGGCTTTTTTTCCTCATGAAGCCCGCGGGAAGGGGCCATTTGCTGAGCATTTACTTGCTGCCAGGCGCTGGATGGGGCCGGTGTCAGGAGAGAAGCCGCGGGGGGGGTGGGGAGGGGGGTGCCCCAGGGATGCAGCCTGCGAGGAGGCCCTGGAGAGGGCTCTCCTGGGAATACGCACACTAATTAGTCATGGACCAGAGGCGGTTGGGGGGGAGGCCCCACAAGACCTGCTCCCCAGGAGAGTCTGGGGCTTAGGGCAGGCAGCATTAGCTCAGAGGTTCCCCCGAAGAGCTGGATTGGGGACCCGCAGGCAGCTACGGGGGAAGGGGAGGGGCGACGCGTGTGGGCGAGGCCAGATGGGGGGTCCCGCTGAGCGCCAGACCCCGACTGACAGGTGTGTCCTGGGAACCAATGCCCAGAGCCAGATGCTGTGGTGTCGGGCGCCCCCTGATGGACTTGGGGGGAACAATGCCAAGTCCCTGGCGATGACTGGCGCCTGGGGCTGGGATCCCCGATGCTTAGTGATGGAGCAAAGCTGGTAGCGTCATACAACACATGGCGAAGAGGCTCGGTGCCAGGACGCTCCCGCTCTTCTTCCCAGGGCTGCCGGAACATGCTGTGGAGGCTCGTGGGCCCCTCCGCGGCGCCCGGGACAGTCCTCAGTGCTGCGGGTCTGGCGTTCGGTTCTAGGCTGGGGGGGGCGGGGAGGCAGGTGGGCCGGGCACCTGCGCCCCTGAAAGCCACCTCCGCAGCCTCAGCCCCTCCTCCAGGCTGCAGCAAGTAGGAGGGAGGCCGCCAGGGACGAGGGGAAGGCAGGCCAGTGGTCCCGGAGATGACGTGGCACACAGGTGGCGGGAGTGGGGGGGGGCTTCCTCGGGCAGGACAGGCCCAGGGGTGGGAGCCCAGCTCTACCCCAGTCCCTGACGGGGGTGGGGAGGAGGAAAGCTCACAGAACAGGAGGGGCCTGGGAGGGGCTTGGGGGGCCCTCACAGCACCTTGCCTGGGTTCATGAGGCCCCGGGGGTCCAGCACAGCCTTGAGCTGCCGCATGGTTTCCACGCCCACGGCGCCCACCTCCTCCTGCAGCAGCTGCCGCTTGCCCAGCCCCACGCCGTGCTCCCCGGTGCACGTCCCGTGGAGGGCCAGAGCCCGCCTGGGGGTGCAGAGACAAGAGCCTCAGCGGGGCGCCCCTCCACCTCCCTGACCGCCCCCGCCCCGCCCCCCGCCATCTTCTGGCCCTGCTGACCTGCCCAGTCGTTTGGCAAAGGCCTCCACCCTGCGGACTTCCTCGGCGTCCTCTGGGTCTACCAGCAGGATGCAGTGAAAGTTGCCATCGCCCACGTGCCCGACGATGGCTCCTGGGGGGCCCAGAGGACACAGCTGCCACCCCTGGCACTGCCCACCACGGTCCAAGCTCCTACCACACGCTCACGGGGGCGGGGGGGGGGGGGAGCAGAACCTGTGATGCCAGATGCCGTCATGTCCTCCTTGGCCTGCACCACGATCTCAGGCAGCCGGGAGATGGGCACACACACGTCGGTGGAGTAGCCCTGAGTCAGAAGCAGGCCCCGTGAGGGATCCCCACAGCTGGGGGCAGCATTCCTGCAGGCTAAGAGGAGGCAGGGGTGGGGCGCTCTAGGAGTCCAGGGCCCCGTATATCCCCCAGCGTCCACACTACCTTGGCACATTCTGTCTAGAACCCCATCTGCTCTTCCTATTCCTTTGGGTTGGCCTTGCCTCTTCCTCCAGGAAGCCTCCCCTCTATGCATCAACCCTCAGAGCGGCAGGGCCTGGCTCACACCCTGGCTCACAGGGTGTGGAAGTCGGGAGGCAGAGGGTGGGGGACCGAACCCGGCCCAGCCTCCTCACCTTGCTGCCGGGCCGCAGCGCCAGCACCGAGTACCAGGCGTTGTGCCTCGCCGCCCAGAGCCGGCTGCGCTCCTCCGCCTCCTTGGCCCAGGAGAAGTGCAAGGCTCCGTTGTGCCGGCTGATCTCCTCTGTGGGGAGCAGGGGCTTCACACCGGGCCCTCACTGGGGCGGCCCTCGCCAGCCCCGCTGCCCGAGCCCTGCACCCCGGCACACCTGAGCGGTGCAGTTGCTGGGCCAGCGCCTCCTCGGAACCGTGGAACTCCAGGAAGAGCGTGGGAGCCACTGTGTAGCTCAGCTTGCTGTACTTGTTGCAGGCGTCCATCATGACGTCATCCAGGAACTCTGGGAGCAAGCAGCGGACAGGACACGTGAGGCGCGGTCACCTCTTCCAGAGACCCCCCCCCCGCCCCCCCCCAGACCCTCCCACGCCGGCTCACCGATGCGGGCCACAGGCACTGCAGACTGGAGGATGTGCACTGTGCTATCCACAGCCGCTTGGATGCTGGGGAATGCGCAGGTGGCCACCATCGTGGCCTCGGGAGCGGGGTGCAGGCGCAGGGTGGCAGCAGTGATGAGTCCCAGGGTCCCCTCGGAGCCCACAAAGAGCCCCGTGAGGTTGTAGCCAGCAGCACTCTTCCTGCGCATGGGAACACGGGCCAGGTGCATGAGGGCCTGGGAGCTCGCCAGGACCCCCTCGGCCCCTACACAGTGAGTGCTGAGTCCATCCTGAGCTTACCGTCAGCCCAGACTGCCATCCTCAGGACACCCCGGGACTTTGCCCAAACTGGCATTACTCAGGAAGAACCAGCCCCTTACAGCCACTCCACCCACTCAGAACATCCCTGTGCTGCCCATGGGTTGGGGCCCCCCCACTGGAAGTGGGGGAGATGATGCAGGAGTGCTCCCCGGGAATGGCAGCCATGGCTGTGGGTGCTCACTAGAAATGGCAGAAACGATGTGTGTGTCCACGAGATGTGGCGGGCTGATGGGGGGTGCCCACGCAAAGTGGTAGAAATGAGGGAGCACCCACTGGGAAGAGTGGGAGCGGTGAAGGCGCCCACCCAAAGTGGTAGGAGCAATAGCACAGCGGGTAGGGCGTTTGCCTTGCACGCGGCTGACCCGGGTTCAATTCCCAGCATCCCATACGGTCCCCTGTGCATTGCCGGGTGTGACCCAAAAAGAAAAAAGTGGTAGGCACAGTGTGGCAAGCTTCCAGGAAGTTGTGGGAAGGGTGGGGGGCAGCCCCCAGAGGTGACCCCAAGTGGGAGCACTCACCGGAAGTGGCGGCCTGGGCCCGCAGTGTGAAGCAGCTGGCCCCGGGGCAACACCACCTCCAGGTTCAGCACGTTGTCCCGCATGGTGCCATAGCGCACAGCATTGGTGCCCGAGGCCCCAGTGGCAGCCATGCCACAGAGAGAGGCATCAGCACCTGGGTCTGGGAGCAGAGGGGTCCCCTGAAGCCCTGGAAAGAGCCCTGCCTCCTGGGTGCCCCTGGGGCCCCGGGGAAGGGCCTGTAGGTCAGCCTACCCACGGGAAACCAGAGGCCGCTGTCCCGCAGGTGGGTGTTGAGGGCCTTGCGGGTCACGCCGGGCTCCACCACCACAGAGAAGTCCTCAGGGCTCAGCGCCAGGATCCGGTCCATCCGGGTCAGGTTGATGCAGACGCCGCCCTGGGAGGGGGAGTTGGCAAATGGCCACTGTCCTGAGTCTCCCAGACACAGTCTCAGAGTCCACATGGAACGAGCCAGAGCCAGAGTCCCTGGGGAACTGGTCGGCGGGGGCTGGAGTGTGTGGGATGGAGGGAAACGGGCTGCCTGGTGACCACCCTACCTGCACGGCGCACACGCCGCCCTCCAGCCCGGTGCCAGTGCCGAAGGGGATGATGGGCACGCCCTGGCCATAGCACAGCTCGGCCACCCGGCTGACCTGCTCTGCTGTCTGCGGCCACACCACCACGTCCGGAGGCTGGCACCTGAAACCACATCCTCATTTGTCTTGAGAGGCATGGCACCTCCAGGCGTTTGCTTTGGGTTCTGTTTTCTCAGGTTTCTGGGGTCTCCTGGGGCAGTGCCCTTTGTGGAGGCCCAGGCCTTGCTGGGGAGTCACCCCGCTGCCCTGCCTTGAGGCCCCTAGAGGCTGTAAAGTGGGAGAGAGCTGAGACACTTTTCGGGGTGGGAGCGGAGAAGAAGGAGCGATGGCCAGAGCTCCCCCAAATGGGTGTGAGGGGAAGAAGGGGGACCCACAGTACCCCCATACCTGTGCATGGACTCATCATGCCCGTGCTGCTCCCGGACCGCAGAAGCTGTGGACACCTGGGGGCTCCCCACAACTGCCTTCAGAGCCTCCACAAAACCCTTGCTGAGCTCTCCCTGCAGGGGTGAAGCACAGGAATGCAGAGGGAGGGGACAGGCCCTCCTTAGACTCTGCAGGGCATGTAAAGCTAAAGCCCCTCTGCAGTGAAGTGGGGGTGGGCACAGGGCACCCAGAGACCCACGCATCACTTCTGAAAACCCTGCGTGTGTAAAAGGAAAAATCAGGTTCTCTTGACAGAGGGGTGGGCGGAGGAAGGCTCCCCCTTGCTCCATGCTCATATGGGTGGCTGGCCTGTGTCTGTCCATACTCCCAGCCCACAGGGGACATGGCAGGATCTGGGAACGCTTCCAGCCTGCCGCACTGGGCCGGGGTGTTTGCAGCGAGGCTGGACCCATCCGGAGTTTTCCCCGGTTTACAGAGCTGGACCAGAGGCCAGCAAGAATAGCACAGCTTGGGCTGGAGCAGTAGCACAGCGGGTAGGGCGTTTGCCTTGCACGCGGCCAACCCGGGTTCGATTCCCAGCATCCCATATGGTCCCCTGAGCACCTCCAGGGGTAATTTCTGAGTGCAGAGTCAGGAGGAACCCTTGTGCATCGCCAGGCTTGACCCAAAAATAAAAATTTAAAAAAAAAAAAAAGAATAGCGGCGCAGCCCTGGCCCCGAACCCCAGCCAGCTGGTGTTCAGAATTTTTGTGGCCTGGAGCCCACACACCTTTTTATTTGACCCTGTGTGGCAGAAGTGGGGGTCCCAGCCCCTGGCCTGTGTGGAGTGGGCCCGGAATCCCCGGACTCCACGCGGGGCCAGCGGGAAGCCGGGTGGGGCCTGGTATCGGGCATCTCCTGCCTCCACCTACCTGCGTCCCCTTGGAGCAGTACCCCCTCCCCGGGAACAGCCCCCGGGTCGCAGCCCGGAGCAGGCGAGCCATGGCCAGGCGCGCAGCGGGCACAGAGCGGGCGGACTCCGGCGGCCCAAACCCATTGGCAGTTCCAGGGGCGGGGCTTGCTCGAGGGGCCGGCCTTAAGGTGGCGGGCCTTAAGGTGGCTCCGCCGGCAGCTGGGTCAGGTCACCTAGCAGGTCAGCTCTTTTTTAGTTCATCACCTGACCTGCTAGGAATTTTTAAAAGAGAAGTGAGGGCTGTAGCAGTGGTACAGTGGGTAGGGCGCTTGTCTCGCACGTGGCTGACCTGGGTTTGTTCCCCCCCCTCCCCACAGCCTGCCAGGAATAATCCCTGAGCACAGGGCCAGGAGTAACCCCTAAGCAGTGCCTGGTGTGCCGCCCCACGAGAGATGAAAGAGAGAGAGAGAGACAGAGACAGAGAGTGAGAGACAGAGAGACAGAGAGCTAGCTAGCGAGAGAGTTAGCAAGCGAGAGAGAGACAGAGAGGGAGAGTAGGAGAGCAAGAGAAAGAGAGACAGAGCGAGACAGAGACAGAGAGCATGAGAGAGAGAGACAGACACAGAGAGGGAGAGAGGAGCAAGAGAGGCGGGGAGCAAGAGAGAGACAGAGATAGAGATAGAGAGAGAGAGAGAGAGAGAGAGAGAGAGAGAGAGAGAAAGAGAGAGACAGAGACAGAGTGTGCAAAGGGAAATAGGCTGGTGGCCACTGCCTGGCTTACGCCTCTGTGCTGGCTCCAGAGGTGCTGAAACTAACAGGCTGGGATAGACACAGGGATAAGTGCTTATCTTGCAAGAGCCAACCCAGCTTCCATCCCAGCACTCCATGCAGTCCTCAAAAACACTGCCTGGGGTCGCACCAAAGCACAGCCCCTGGGTGACCAAACTGATCCCCTGGCCCCAGGGACACCACCCCCCCCCCCCAATTTAAGAAAAGCAAAGACCCTGCAGGTGGCTGCTGACCTCTCCCTCCACTCCGAGTCTTTCCAGTCTCCTCTCTGCACTTCCCTTCCGGTCCCTTTCTGGTCCTTCATCCAGGCTCTGAGCCCTGGCACACTCCCCCGTCCAGACTTGAAGAGTGTGCCAGAGAACTGCTTGGGGAACTGCTGGCCCAGTTCTCGCTGGTCCAGCAGGTGTCAGCCCTAGTGGCCTGAGTGTATCATGACCAGGGCTATGGAGCTGGGAACAAAGGCCCAGGGGCTTTGGAGATGGAATAGGGCAGCGAGGCAAGCCAGGAAGACTTTGCAAGCAGAAGGGAGGAACCTGTTTTCCTGAATGAGGAATGCTGCTATGTGCCACCAAGTCACCGAGACTTTGAACCAGATGAAGGAACAGATTAGAAATAGAGTTCAAGGGGCGGGCGGGAGAGATAGCACAGCGGGTAGGGTAGCACACGGCCCACCCGGGTTCGATTCCCAGCATTCCATATGGTACCCCGAGCACTGCCAAGAGTAATTCCTGAGTACATGAGCCAGGAGTAACTCCTGTGCACTGCTGGGTATGACCCAAAAAGCAAAATCACTTCACTTAATCATTTAACTTCCTGTTAGTCGTCGATTTGCTCGAGCGGGCGCCAGTAACATCTCCATTTGTCCCTGTCGCGTGCTAGTGTAGCCCAATGGCATCTGTTCGCTCCGGGAACATGAAGGGCCTCAAACCGATCGTTCATGATCTTCACAAAGAAGTCTGACCATCTGGTAGGTGGGCGGCCACGCGGTCTTTTGACATCCCGTGGAATCCAGTCGGTAACAGCTCTAGTCCAGCGGTTGTCTTTAAATCTCATTACGTAACCAGCCCATCTGATTTTCGACACCTTGGCAAATGAGACGGCATCCCTGATTCTTGATCATCGACAGATGCAGGAACTCCGGATTCTTTCTCTCATTTGAGTGAAACGTGATATTCCAAGCATAGCTCTTTCTATTCTTCTTTGGGAGACCTGAATAGCGTTCTCATTTTGTTTGCGTAGGGCCCAGGTCTCTGAGGCATATGTTAATGCAGGAAGAACAGTGGAATCAAAGAGATGTGCCCGGAGCCGGAGGTTCTTCGTCCTCTTAGCTATTTCTTCGATGTTCTTGAAGGCGTTCCAAGCCGCTCTCTTCCTCCTGCGCAGCTCGGGTGCCAGGTCATTTGTCATGTTGACCTCTCGACCTAGGTACACATAGCTGTTGCATTTGGAGATGGTTGTTCCATTGAGAGCAAATGGGGCGTCAGGAACGAGGCTGTTTCTCATAAACATTGTCTTCGTAAGATTCAGCTGTAGTCCTACCTTTCCACACTCACGGTCAAAGTCGGCCAGCATTTGTGCCGCTTGGCTGATGTTTGGTGTTATTAAAACAATGTCATCAGCAAAGAGGAGGTGGTGTAGTTGCCAACCATCTATCTTCACTCCCATTCCTTCCCATTCTAGTCGTCGCATGATGTTCTCGAGGGTGGCACTGAAGAGTTTCGGTGAAATGGTATCACCATGCCGCACCCCTCTCTTGACATCAACGATCACTTCTTTGTAGAATGGTGAGATCCTGGTAGTGAATCCGCAATACAGCTCACGGAGGATCCTGATGTACTGGGCTTGAATGCCCTAATTGGCTAGGGCTTCAATGACCGCTTCCGTCTCAACAGAATCAAAGGCCTTCTTTAAATCAATGAATGTTAAACAGAGCGGCATCTTGAACTCCTGAGAAACCTCAATGAGCTTGGTTATCGTGTGGATATGGTCGATGGTGCTGAATCCTTTGCGGAACCCGGCTTGCTCACATGGTTGTCCTTCATCTAGTGTTCTGCCAATCCTATTTAGGATGACTCGAGTGAACAACTTGTAGATGACAGACAATAGGCAAATCAGGCGATAGTTGCCAATGTCATGGATGTCTCCCTTCTTGAACAGTAGTACAGTCCTGCTTGTTTTCCATTGGGACGGAACCTTGCATTCAGACAGGTAGCGAGTGAAGAGCCGAGCCAGTGTATTGATGAGTACTGATGGCAGGTTCTTCAGGTGTTCAGGTCTGACCTTGTCTGGGCCGGATGCTGTTTGTTTCTTTACCGACGAAATGGCGTGTCGGATTTCGGAAGGGAGAACGTTGGGAACGACATATCCATCCTGTGGAATTTGGTATGTTGGCAAGTGGACATGGCTATCGAAGAGATTTGAGTAGAAGTCATAGATAATCTTCTCCATTGCCGTTCTGGAGGATGTGATGGATCCATCAGGACGTCGGAGGGCAGTCATCTTGGTCTTGTAGTTGGCGAAGGACAGGCGGGCGTTACGAATACTTTTCCCGGCTTCTGCCGCATCTACCAGTACTTCTGCTCTTCTCTCTTTGAGGTCTTCCTTGATCGCATCTCTGCACTGCTTTGCAAGCTCGGACGTTAGCTTGCGGTTGCCTGAGGCATGCGCCAAACCACACTGGTGAATTAGCTCAAGAGTTTTCGAAGATAGGCGATTTTTTGTGGCTATCTCTCTCTTGGCGTTCCTCGCACATTCATGGAGGTGCTGAACCAGTCGATCGTATTCCTCATCAATGTTGTCAACAATGGCATCTTCCCATGTTGCCGCAATAGTACCAAAGAGTTCCCAGTTGGTGGTCATCCTGGGAGTTCTCTTTTTGAACTTTGCAGCCCTTTCTCCCCGCTCTGTGAAGTAGAATTTTGCACGAAGGAGACGGTGGTCCGATCCCGTTCGAAATTTTGGGACAACAGCGACATCAGTCAGGCAAAACCATCGATTGAATATGATGTGGTCTATTTCATTGTGGAATGGTCCACCGGGAGACTCCCATGTCCATCGTTTAGATTCTGCCTTCTGGAACTGTGAGTTACCATGAATGGTCTTGGTCGACATGATGAACTCAGACAGTCTCTCACCCTGTTCGTTCCATTCTAGGCCATGGGTTCCAATGTGAAGTTCTTCAGCTGATCTTCTCGGTCCTATCTTGGCATTAAAATCACCCACAATGATCTTGTAGAAGGTGTGGTCTTCTTTATAGAACTTCTCCAGCTCCATGTAGAACTTCTCGATTTCTCTTTCATCATAATGAGATGTTGGTGCGTAGACAACGAAGATAGAAACTGCAGGCAGTGAGCCACATCTATTCAAATGTAAACGTCCGATTCGGGTTGTTAGGCATTCGAATGAATCAATGCTCTTGGCCAAGTTTGTGTTGACAAGGACACCGACGCCTCCAACACCTCTTTTATCGCATGTTCCGAGGAACAATTCTTCTCCAGTGTCGAAAACGGCATGGTGAGATTCGTGCCTTCTTGTCTCGGTCAGACCAATGATGTCGTACTTGATCATTCGCGCTTGTACCATCAGGTCCTCGATGGATGCATCTGATGCTAGCGTACGTGCATTGAAAGTACAGATGATCATTTTTGTCTTCCTTCGTTGTGGCAGCCTAGGTCGGCCTTGAGATTTTGTCGGCCTCTCCTTTCTCATCCTTCTCAGTGCTGCCATGTCGGTGAAGCCTTCAGGGTCAGGTGAATGAGACCAGTTGTAGTTACTGGTTTTGGCATATTGAATACACAGCGGGTAGTTTGCCAGGCTCTTCTGTGCGGGCGGAATACTCTCGGTAGCTTGCCAGTCTTTCCGAGAGGGATAGAGGCTTTTGGGGCGACCTCTAATCACCCTTGTAGGTGTTACCATATTTGAACCCTATCAAATACGGTATGACAATTCCGGAAGATGGGTATTTAGTGTCTTATGATGTGTCCGGAAAGCGTCCTGGAGTGTGGCGACGGCTGGGTAGTGGGAGTAGTGTCGATAGTGGAAGTCTGCCAGTGGGGTATTTATCTGGGTAGGGTGGGTCTCCTGTGAGCAATTCGATCCCTGGGTGGTTGATGGAAGCAGACAGGGCAGGGTAGGGTGGGGCTCCTGATTAGAATCCCTTTGTCACCTGTGGTTGGTGGGCGCAAGCAGAGAAGCTCTGTCCCTGGGTCTCCCGAGCCTGGAGTACAAGGTCTCAGAGAGTTCCGCAAAAAAAAAAAAAAAAAAAGAAAGAAAAAGAAAAAGAAATAGAGTTCGAAGTGCCCGGCTAGCCAGGCCTGACCTTGGAGCCAGTATTGGCTAACCCCACTCTTGGGAACCCTCAGAGTCATACTAGCATTTCTCACTAGTTGCATAATAAGCAGAACCCAGATATTCATTGCTGATCATCTCCAGCACTTTAAGCTGCAGCCCCTGGTTCATCAGTATCACCCACTTTAAGACAGGTCGAATTAGGCTTGAATTAGGCTTTGATTTGTGTACAAAGTCTAAAGAGGTGGGAACGAAGTGGAAAACTTTAGAGGTAGAAGCAGGGAACTAGAGTCTGAACCTCTGGGTGACCCATTCTGGGAGCGGGGTAGAGATGAATGAGTTGTAAATCACAAAGTTGTGAGCAGAACAGAGCAGAAGAACAGAGCCGATCAGGGGCCTTGGGCAGGAGCAGGACAGGGCCACAGAAATAGCGAGCAAATGTCTATGTGGAACTTAGAACTAACAGCATTAATCATTGATTGCACCAACTATGTATGTATCAGCAATTATCTTTAAAACCTTCGTTGTGTATGTTAGATGAAAAATGTTTTCAGAGGCTGGAGCAATAGCACAGCGGTTTGGTCATTTGCCTTGCACGCGGCCAACCCGGGTTCGATTCCCAGCATCCCATATGGTCCTCTGAGCACTGCCAGGGGTGATTCCTGAGTGCAGAGCCAGGAGTAACCCCTGTGCATCGCTGGGTGTGATCCAAAAAGAAAAAAAATAGAAAAATATTTCCATAGATGTTGTGTCTAACTTATTTAAGCTCTTTGAAAGCTGTATTTGGGACTTGGAACGATTTGGCAATAGCCAGGCTGAGTCTACATCTGTAAATAAAATTGGTTCTCTCTATTATTTCTCAATTGGCACCTGTTTTTTGGTCAGATTTCTGTGACTGTGAGGCACTTTTCTTGCATATGTGAGGCCCTGAGTACTATCCCAAATGCCTCAAATAAATAAGGTAATTCATTAAGCAAAGGAAAAGGAAAATAAGAACATTTAGTAAGGTAATTCATTAAGCAAAGGAAAGAGAGAAGAAAGGTTTTTCATGTTCAAAAGTTTCCCAAGGTTATGTTAGTGCTAGAAAGACCCAGAGAGCTCCCTCCCACTGCTCCCGAGGGCGGCACTTCACAGCGGCTGCCTCTCAGGGTGCACACAAGGCGAAGGGGCATGAGAGCACTGAGTGGAGAAAGCACTTACAGTCAGCGTCAGCAGTCACGGGTCACTACAATGCCCACATAGGTACAAAGTTGAGTGGTATCCTCCCCAAATGCCTGTTCCTCCCAGGACTGCAGTACATGACTCTATTTGGAAAGTAAGTGGCTTCCAAGGGAACGTAAGATGAGCTTATAATGGTGTGGGGTGGCCCAGAATCCATCCTACCCGGTGTCCTTATGAAAAGAGGCTGTGAGCATTAATCAGACTAATTAATGTCAGGTATTAAAAGTAGGACCCAGGTAAGAAAAGATAAAATCACGGAATTTGCTGCTACAGTGGATGCATCTGGAAAAGTATCAGAGTGAGTGAAGTGAGTCCGAGGGAGAGGGGCAGACACAGAATGAACTTTCTCATGGGTGGGGGGAATATAAAGAAACACTGTCCTCCCGTTGTTCATCGATTTGCTCCAGCGGGCCCAGTAACGTCTCCATTTTTTTGAGACTTGTTGTTACTGCGTTTGGCATATCGAATGTCACAGGTAGCTTGCCAGGCTTGTTTTTACTGTGTTTGGCATATCGAATGTCACAGGTAGCTTGCCAGGCTTTGCCGGGGGCGAGATACGAGATACTCTCGTAGCTTGCCGGGCTCCCAGAGGGGAGATTCCCAGAAGGGAATTCCCAGAGGGGTGGAGGAATCGAACCTGGCTGGGCTGGGCTGGCTGCATGCAAGGCAAACAACCTACCGCTGTGCTATCACTCCAGTCCATAAAGAAACATAGTAGGAGAATAGCAAGTGCCCAAAGGCAACTGTCAGGAGAGGGAATATATGACATTGGTGGAAGGAAGTGGTCACCCTGGAGAACGCTCACAGGAGCTACCTACCACAGAGGCAGGCTGGGGAGCAGGAGGGGACATTGGTGGAGGGTGGTGGACACTGGTGAAGGTACTGGTGTTGGAACACTGGATGTCAATGTTCAAACATAAAATCAAACATAAATAACAGTAACTTTCAAATTTTTTTTAATAAAGGGGGATGCTCAGGGCCAGGATTGTAGCTCTGAGGTAGAGCAATTGTTTTGCTTTTTTGAGGTCCTGGATTAGAATCCTGACACCACAAAAAAAAAGAGGAAGAAAAGAGGACCTGAGATATAGCACAGTGAGGATGCACCTGCCCTGCACCAGCCAACTTGGGTTCAATCCCCAGCGCTACATGTGGTTCCCCAAGCCCTTCAGGAATTATCCCTGAGCACAGAGCCAGGAGTAAGACCTGAGCACAGCCAGGTGTGTTCCCAGCTCCCCCCCAAAAAAATTAAAGAGAAAAAGTAGAAAACAAATAAAACAGGGAAATCTGTGGTTGTAGAAGAAGATGCAGGAGCTCTACTACTTGCTGAGTTATTTGTAAATATAGAGTTTCTCAGATTAAAAAACAAATAGGGGCTAGAGTGATAGTACAGCAGATAGGCGTTTGCCTTGCACGTGGCCGACCTGGGTTCGATTCCCAGCATCCCGTATGGTCACCTGAGCACTGCCAGGGATAATTCCTGAGTTCAGAGCCAGGAGTAACCCCTGTGCATCTCCGGGCGTGACCCAAAAAGAAAAAAAAATTAACTAAAATGAGATGATCAACGAGGAGCAATTCACCCAAAACCCTCTAATGAAAAGTGTTGGTTTTGTTTACATTAACTGATAGAAAGACCAAAGACAGATTAGGAAGTTCAGAAATGTACCCAAATACGCAGTTTATAGATGGAAAAGGTGGTGCCTACGTCAGTGTAGGAAGATGGGCTTACACCACAGAGTTTGGGGCCAGGGCAAGGGACTGGTCCCAAGGTCTGGAGCACAGGCTCCCCATCCAGGCACCTCTGATCCCAGCCGGGTGATGAAAGAAGTTACCAGGAGAGTGAGACAGTTTAGGGAGAATAAAATGAATTTACTGAAAGAGCGCACTGGTCATACTGACACAGCGGGAGCCTCCACAGAGAGAGACCAACTTAGCTCACTCTTGGGGCGTCTTTTACCGTATCTCTCTTTGTGGGAAGTTTCTGCCTCCTCTAGCCCATTCTGGGAACAGGAGCTATGGAGCCTATTCCAGGGCTTGGGCAGCCTGTCTGAGAGGCAGCGGCGGGCTAGTCGCCTAGGCACAGCTGTTGAGGTGGGCAGGGACAGGACAGCGGAAGGTGCTCGCACACACAGTCTCAGCCAGCCAGCGAACCAGGGTTTTGTTTTTTTCTTTTTGGGTCACACCCGACGGTGCACAGGTGTTACTCCTGGCTCATGTACTCAGGGATGACTTCCGGCAGTGCTCGGGGTACCCTATGGGATACTGGGAATTGAACCTGGGTCGGCTGCATGCAAGCCAAATGCCCTACCCGCTGTGCTATCGCTCCAGCCCCCGCCAGCCAGGCTTTAAGTAGGGGCTTTAACCAGGCATTTTGGGGGGCGGCTCAGTAACAAATGTGCTTCATTGTTGGGGGACCCGATACTGGAGGAGAAGGCTAAGGATATTTAAGTGCACGGGCATCTGGGAATCGGACTTCCTCTTTCACCGTTTTCTCGTTTCGGGGGACACCTGGCGATGCTCAGGGGTTCCTCCCGGCTGTGCACTCAGAGATCACTCCTATGCGGCGCTCGGTGGGGACCACCTGAGATGCCGGGGCTCGGCTCGGACACGCACCACGTGCAAGGCCAGCGCCCTCCCCGCTGTTCCTCCCTCCAGGCCCTCCTCGATCTTGAAAAGCAAAGTTTGGTTCGTGAGGGCTCGAGGGGGCGGTGGCGGGTAACGCGCAAGCCTCTGTGCGGGAAACGGACAGGACAGTCGTGGGGGCGTCCGGGGATTCTTGCAGACAGCTGCCGGCAGGAGAACGCGGCTCTCCGGAGCGTCCCTGCGGCGCGGCCCAGCGGGCTTCTGGGAAATGTAGTCCCGGGGTCGGCCGGACCCCCTCGGAGGGCCCCGGGGCCGCCAGCCGCCCCCGCCTCTGCGCATGTGCGGGGCCGCCCGGGCGCCGCCGGCCGCCCCTCCCCCAGCGCGGGCCGCGAGGGGTGACAGGGGCCCGTCCCCGCGCCGCGCCCGGCCCGCCGCCCCGCCCCGCCCCGCGTGCCGGCGGCCCCTGCGGGTAGGTCGCGGCGGGGCCCTCGGGCGGCCGCGGGGAGGGAGGGCCGGGGCGCCCGCCGGGGAGCCCGAACTTGGCCGCGCGCGGGGAGGCGGGGAGGCGGGGACGGGCCGCGGGGGCCGCGCGCCTTTGTCAGGGGCCGCGTGGGGAGGGGCGGGCGGGCGCGGGGCCGCGGGTGGCGGGGCCGAGGGCGGCGGGGCCGGCCGGGCGTGGGTCCGAGGGCG